GCTCGAAAAACGAAGGCCTCATAAACGGCATATCATTTTCACACTATTGTGAGCTTCCAACTTTCACTGTGAAAAAAATGAGTGTATATTTTCAAACACAGATACTAATTAATTCTAAAATTGCGTTTTGTTTAGAAAAAGAAAGAAAGTGATTTTTGCGTGTACACTTCCCCTTCGAGACGCTAGAATCACACAACTGTACCTACACCACGTGAAGCGGCTCTAACAGAGCATGATGACGTCATAATGTTTATCAATTGGCACCAATGACGTCATATTGCAAGGGGCATAAGCCATGGTGTTTTTGTTGTGGAAATAGAACACTTGGTAAATGTGAAAAACATAAATCGTTTTAATGCAAAAAATATGTTAATTAAATATGATGTTTTTATATTTTTGTCTATGACACTTCTATGTTAACACTTTTAATGTGGAAAAAGTACAAGAAAATTTGGTTCATTTCCGTGTGAACTTGCCCTTTAAGGGGCTAATGTAAGAACTGGTCAGTTCGGAGTCAGCATGCACACACGCGCGCGTCGTCCAACCCTATTTCACCTCACCCCACCTCACCTCGTCTGTATAAACACAAATTGTGGTCACCCTATACTGCGTTTGTTAATTGAGTTGTAACACAACCCCTCGTTTAGGGCGTGTCGCTCTGTCTCCTTTTACCACATATGGGTTTTGTCCGTGAATTTATTATGATAAAACATTGATCATACGAATGACCAAATATTATGTTGTAACAATTTTTATGAACAGTTATTTTTTCCGCTGGTATATACACCCAGCTAACAAATGTCCAGGTACAGTTTGAGATAACTTATCAGTGAACATTATTATGTTTCATACACCTTCAGTGTCGTCAGCCCATCGTCCTGTCATTATATCTCATAAAATCCTGTGCTTTACCCTGTATTTTATATATTTTGCGCGCAAAATACCACCGATTTCATTATCACACATAACAATTACCGTTGATTATATTTTTCAGTGTATCGAACCTGCAAACTTCGTGTCTCGAGCCTTTGAGCGATTAACACTGACAAATCACAATGTTTTTAAGAATCTTATATACGCATGCAAGAGATATTTTACGTCCGTTTCCCAAGGCCCATGTGTATTGAAATTGTTGATGAATATTGTTTCAGATATTTCTTTCGGTTTATGGGTAGGAAAAAAACACGCCTGAGGATTTTTACGAGATTAAAAACCCTTATTCTCGGGTTGTAAAGAGATTTTATGAGATTTAAAACACGATGATGAGGGTTTTAAATCTCATAAAAAACCCAGGGGAAGTGTTGTTACTGACAAAAAGTGTTACCCTGAATACCCTGGCGGATCTCGATTTCCCTCGGTGAATGTGCAGGTGGCTGGTGAAGATTACCTACTGGCGAGTGGAACGCCCCGAGTTCATCATGAGGTTTCCTGCGGAAAAGTAGAAAAATGAGCGTCTGCTCTGAGAGCGGAAGGTCCGTTGTTTTAATCCCCGTCCGCGTCATACCGCGTCAAGGCCGCGTCAAGGCCGCGTCAGTGGTATAAAACAAGGACTTGTCGGTTTGGAGTTGGGTATCCATGTTAACCTGCGGCCTGGTATCCCAGTCGGCTAGCACTTCAAAACCGGCATACAGACATACAGGGACACAAACACACAGACGCAAGGAATGTCCGCTTAATGTGCGAGGAAAGCCCAAAGAGTATGCAGGTCTCAGACGTTACCTCTTTGGTGAAACTCACGAGCACGGGTATGATGCGAACCGGGATTCGAGCCAAAGATTATAGGTTTCTAGCACATCTGGGATGCAATTTTGCAAAGAGAATGTCGACGCCTTCAACCACAACGCCGCAGTACCCCCAACGCCAAGTGGTCCTATGTAAACAGGTCAGGTTTAAGTACACGTGTATGTATGTCAGAGATATCAGAGCATTATTTTGGTTATATGTGTATCTCTCACATGAATAATAACGTGTCAGTACACAATTGCTTCTGCAATTGTTTTGTTAGTAGTGAGTGAGTGACTATGGTTTTAGGCTCTTTTTCTCAATATTCCAGCAATAGCACGGCGGGGGACAACATACATTTACACATTGTACCCATATGGGGAATGGAACCCGGGCCTCCGGCGTTACGAGCGGACGCTTTAACCACTAGGCCACCCCATCGCTCTGTTAGTGGAGAAATGACACATGTAGAAAACAGTTATAACTGAGAAGACGCTGGATGCTCGTGGTCTGAAGCGTTGCAATATATTGTAAAGAGCTGTGTCCCTTAGTTTTATTTGTTGTTTAACGCCGACGGTGGTCATGGTTCATGCATGTCATCGATCCCAATTGCGTGGATCGATGGTCATGATGTCAATCACTGGATTGTCTGGCCCAGACTCGATTATTTACAGACCGCCGTCATATTTTTTAAATATTGCTGAGTGCGGCGTTAAACAAACGAATTTCATGAGTGGTTTGTATGGTAGACGGTTTCTTGTGAAAAGAATTTTACAGAGAACACTGAGAACACCCCTCATATATATAAACTATATATTATAGATATATTTTGAAAATATCATAATGGTGATAATTTTGGTCTCGGTCTTACACTTTCATGAGTGGTTTCTGGGGGCGGGGGCAGTTTCTAGAATGAAGACAAACTACACAGAAAACAGGTAACAGTTCTGTTTCGTGTGTGGTGAATTCGAGAATTCGAACAAACCACCACGGAAGTGGTTGCTGAAGATGTCGTTTTACCGAGTTTTGGCGTATGAAACCACTGGACACGCGACCCTGGATGAAAATAACGGGAGAGTGAATGTGAAGACACTATCAAGGCAGTAATACATGTTTGTAGCGTGTTTCAGTGTATTCATTTCGAATTCATTTCCATAATCACGAGAAAGAAGTCCATTCTACGATTCCGACTGTATCGTGAACATGTGTTTATGAATCACTATGAATGTTTGGTTGGTTTGTTCTTTAACGCCGCACTCAGCAATATTCCAACTTTATGACGGCGGTCTGTAAATATCGAGTCTGGACAGACAATCCAGTGAGTAACATCATGAGCATCGATCCACGAAATTGAAATCGATGACATGCATCAACCAAGTCAGCGGGCCAAATCACTATGAAATAGTAAATATAGCAGGTGGTCACGAAAAGGTGGTACCCTGGTTACCCGTCACAAACACATTCAAGTGCAAGTCAATTAGTCACCGGAAACACACGAGTACATATGGTACAAGTCAATATAGGCTATTGCATCGGACATCATTTTGTCATCACTACACCAAATTTGGAAACGTCCTCAACATGTCTACCATAGAAAACACTCATCTTCATAATAAACCTATTCATCTTGAATCCGAGTAGTTTTATATTTATTATTATTTCTGTATTTGCGCATCAACCTGACTGCACTGACAGGGGCTTGCTACATCTACGTTGAGATGACGGTCACCACTGACTGACGCATAATCTGCTTGTCCCGCAAACACACGAAGGTCCAACAAACACCTTCTCAATGGACATGGCGTTAAATTAGTTTACCCCTCCCTCAGTGATATTTACTCAGCGGAATATCACCTCGAAAATGGCAGCACGGGTTATATGCAAGCATGAGGCTATCTTTGTATTTCGTCACGGTGGGTTTGTGCAAACTTTGGCGCAGTTGAAATAAGGTGAATTGGGGAAAAACAGAATTTTTATGTCATAAGGTTACCTAAAGTTGTTAATTTAAACAGAATCGTTTTCACGCCCAGTGAGAAAAGTTATCTCATTTAGATTTCAGAATTAATTTATGTGAATACATTTTATCTTCCTTGAATTACTGTTTATATTTTTTCTACATATTTATAATTTTCAGCAAGCTTGCGAAGAATAGTCCCGTCAGTACTGTGAAAACTTGTACGTGAGACCTATTTCGCTCAAGGAGAATTGAAGTTGCCCAATGAAGCACATGTGGTGTCTTCTTGGGCAAATGACTTTTTTCGAAATATGCCTCTGTTCACCAAGCAGTGAATGGGTACCCGGTAGGAAGTGCTGGTGATGGGTCCGTTAACCTTCTAACGCCTCTTGGGCAGCTTAGGGTGGTATACTCCCCAGGGAATGAATATCGAGTGCACACCGATCCACTGACCGGGGTAATAAATTCTGTCAGCGTTTGGATCATGATATCCAGCATCATTATGATGATTATACTACTACTACTACTACTACTACTACTACTACTACTACTACTACTAGAACTACTACTAATAGTGTCCGACTAAACTCAAGCCAAAATAACAAATTCGATTGATTGGCCAGTCGTAAATTTCAGAATGCATACTTTGACCTCGTATTAATTGTTAATTATCCGTTTTAATGAAAGTACTGCATGATTTCTCTTGAATTCGAAGTCGGGCGATGTGCCAATATAAAAAATAGCCTTTATTCTGTCAACCTATTACGCCGTTACATAACGTTTAAAGTAATTCATGACGTTAATATCAATGTAAATATGGCGATGTAAGTATATTTCTCTGTACGCATTGCTCAGTTATAAGTTTTCAGGACCTTTGCGAGGACTACCATGAAGACAATGTCTGCGTCCATGTTTGTTGTCAGCGACATGACGCTATGATGGCAATATGTGCTCTCGTCATTCGGCCATTGTCAAGCACCTGTTCCTTTGTGTGATCACGACCGCCAAGTACCACGCACAAACACCGAGATGAGACTTTACCTTTCTACATAACCAAGACAAACAAACACAAGTCCAACACAAACCCTCAACACAGCTCTCATCACCCCAAAGACACAATCCATCCGTCTTCACAAAAACTGGTCTGGCGTTAATTTGCCTCTGATGATCATTCCGACAAACCCCGCAACATTTCACAACCACGATCCGGATTTCGTTTCGTTGTAAGGAAAAATTCCCTGTTTTATATTTACCATCCTTGCATATACACCCCGGTATAATTGCCACCCCTCAAACAAGAAAACTCTGGAAGCCCCCTGGGTAAACATCCTTACTTTCCTCGACATCTCGTCTGTCCGGCTGTACCTCGCTGACTCGCGGCCATGCACGGCGGAGCGGGAAAATGACCGAAACGAAGGCTTTTTACTTATTACAATATATTCTTATAAGCATCGCCGCGATATGCTGTGTCGCATGTCAAGGTAAGTTTATTCAAAATAAGATTTAATTTGTCCTTTGGGTAATGTAATGAAATGACTCAATGAGTGATAGAAATATATATATCTTTTCGCAATATAAATGATGCTTTACGTATATGATATTCCATACCATGTAAATATGTAGATGTGTTTTGGAGATTCAACTGTTTTCAGCCCTCACGCGAATACCTAATGTCGAAAATACTAAAGCCCACGGAGTTATTGAACTTTGAACATCCAGGATTTGAAACCGTTATAGCTTTAGGGATACAGATACGTGAATAACTTAATGTTTTATCTGAAACTAATGGATACACACGTTTCCGTCATCTTACTGTTAATCATTGTTGAGTCAGTTCTCCGTTGCGGATCGTGGCGAGACATCAATGCCTTAACGGTACTTGGCGTCAATCCCGTTAGTTTCTGTGATCGGTGTGTAGCTAGGAGTTTTCAAAATACAATATACTGCAAATACGTACTTTCTTCTAGTTAGCAGTCGAACAATACCTAATAGCAGACAGTCTAGTATTTAAAGACTTTGATTCTACCGGATGTCTTCGACCTCTTCAGAGACTTCAGAGATGTGTAAAGTCAAATATTACATGCTACACATTTTCGTAGTTTGTGAATACATTAAGGGAATCACATTTATTGAGTTTTCTTACCCATTCTCACATCTATCCACATCAATAGTTTAACTGTCACTTTGCGTGATTTCATTGGGGTATGAACTTTCATTGAGTGAGGACCAAACATTCGAAAGCTCCCACGTTCATTCAATTTGGCCCTCAACCTACGAAGGTTTCACACTCCAGTGAATTCACACAAAGTGGGAGTCAATTCTTAAAAGAATATAGCAAAGTGAAAATACAAAGTGAAAGTCAAGCCTTATAATTTGAACAACCCTATTTTATACCTCAAAGAATGTGTACACAATTTCATTTAGTACTAAATTTCATTCAGCAAAACAGTCTGGTAAATTGAATACCAAGGAGGACTATTCCATTGAGAACAGTTTCATGCCAACAGTCAGACACGTTGACAGAGGGGCGACAGTTGTTAGTCGCCGTATTGTGTGTTATCCAGCACTGGCGGACACGAACAACCAACAGAGTAAATGTCTCTTCTGTGTTCACGGCGGGTAGGCCATGTTTGACGTGTGACGGAAGCAGACAATGGTATAAAGTACAACACCGACAGTTAACAAATAGCCCGAGCCGCCAGTAGTTTGTAGATACATTCACTGATATAATTTAAAAAACCCCAAGTATTCCATCCTGCATAATTAGTTAAGCGCGTAAAATAACGTGACAAATGATTATGTCATGAGCAATATGTATCACATGTGAAATCATTGTTTGAATATATTTCGGTCTGTTTCTTTACATATCTAGTCTGTTCCTGGTTTCCAGAACATTCAACGTTGAATGAAATACACACACGCGGGCACACGCACGCACGCACGCACGCACGCACGCACACATTCGTGTGTTGAACATACCCTTCCTTTCGATGAATATTTACCTTCTATTGTAATGTTCCAGTCCACTCGTTCACAAGAAACAATTTCTTAAATATGATCCTACTGAAAAGCCAGTGTCTGATTTTTTACACTGTATATCTGTTTCTGCAGCTACTCGAGACTGCCTATTCTCTGGCCTGGCGTTGACGTTTCAGGTTAAAACTTGACTTGCCTTTGCATGTATTTGTGACGGGCGCCACAGGTGAGGCAGGATACGCTGATCTTTTCGCGAACACCTGGTTTCATCTCTATTTGTCGATGAAGCATAAACAAACGTTTATGATAATGGAAAGAGCTTGGTCGCCTTTATTTCGGGCACCGACAGAAATGTTTTCAATTTTGTCTACCAACATTTCAATTCTGAAAACAGAGACCTTCATAGGGTGAAGGTCAAACTATACTGAACGTCGGAGCTTGAGAGGACGCCCATACAATGTTTGGTCCTTACTCAATGAAGGTTCATCCTCCAGATTTCACACAAATGAAAGTCAATTCTTGTTATTTTATATTTCTATTTTATACCTCAAGAGATCTGTACACAAGTACACAAGTGAATAAAAGCGCAAAACCCTTTCCATAATAATAGGGAAGGTCCGTAAAAGCAGCTCGATTGTAAGATTCGGACTAAATCATACGCGTTTGTTTTTTCTTCACTATCAAATAGAGATGATACCAGGTGTTCGCGAAAAGGTGAGAGTATCCCGCCCCACCGGTGATTTCATATTTACAACTATAGCCATGCAATAAACAGCTTCTTCGCGACAATAAATACAATGTAGTTCCCCAAAACGTGAGGTGATATGAGCGTGTGTATGATGAAATTGCTGTTTCGTTACAACAAATAGATTTAAATAATATCATCATGAGATGAGAAATGTCGAGTCAGGACTACCTCCGTAAGCCACAGCGACAGCGCGTCGTTGTACATTTACTTAAAGTTTAAAGTACAAGACATCGAAATATCCGAAGTGATTGAGAGATTTCCGACGTTGTCAATGAACCGTTATGCACAAACGCTGAATTCAAAATAAAAGCAAATGCTCAGAAACAACACTTCTGTGTTTATTCGTGCAAGGGAATTGCCAGGAATTTCCATTGGTAAACGTAAGTAGTCCGTCAGTGTTTCCGTACTTTCCAGAATATACTGTGTCGTTCATACGTTGTGAACGCCAGTGTCTTGGTCATGGACCGACCCCTCGACCAATGGCAAAGTCGTAATCGTGTAAACAGCACATTAAACATTATGTGTCTTGGGATATACAAACAAAATTCGTGTTTTAAATTGTGAAGAAACTCGTCACCAACTTCATTTTGATTACACAAATTACAAATTGTATTGATAACGGGGATAGTGTTCTTCCTGACTGGTAGACAAGAAGTTGTGAGAAATTGTAATTTACGTGTCAGAAAGGATGGCACAAACACGACATTTTTCAGGAAGGTAAACGCAATATAAACATAAGATGTTTTCATTCCAACCTATTTACAAAATGACTAAATATTTCAGCCATTTTGCAAATGGACTGAAAACTCTCTCCATTAATTTGACTACATATTTCAGCCATTTTGCAAATGGACTGAAAATCTTTCCATTAATTTGACTAAATATTTCAGCCATTTTGCAAATGGACTGAAAATCTTTCCATTAATTTGACTAAATATTTCAGCCATTTTGCAAATGGACTGAAAAAACTCTCCATTAATTTGACAGATTGACTGAAGATAATTGTTCAGTTCATAATGGCTTAACGAAACCACAGTAGACTAATGCTGTTGGGAGAGGAAGCCAGGTAAAGGTGATCATTGCTGAGCCAATCACGGACTTCACTCTAATCACGCATTGTAATCTCTCTGGTGTTGCAACCACACCCAGAGACTTAATGTACACTAATTGTGTCTACTCGAATGTCTTCATCTCCGTGGTGTTCAAGTGGTGCTAGCAGAATCGGTAGTGGGTTATACAGTGTGTTTTCCTAATGCCCATTTGAAGATGCACTGTAAGTGATATTTGTCCCTCTATTCACGAGGGTGGGAAATTCTTCAAATTTGGTGAGATCAACTTGAGATTTCTTGCGACGCATTATCGTGTCCGCGTTCATAAACCGGTCGTGACTGCCCCCTGCCCCTAGGCCTATACAGACAGGTGTTTGATGACCAGCCACGTGAGGATGAAGGCCACTGTCATGGCGGAAGAATCATGTTAGGCTAACACTTGACGCCCTGAAGACAAACTTCCTCTCACTGAGTGTACTTGTCTAGGTATGTGTTAGAGTCACCAATATATTGACACATTTGGAGTAGGATGGACTTTATCGGGGTTCACAGACGATATAGCATTATTTAGGGTTTCATTTGAATGAAATTGATGCCACTTGTGATGAGATGTCTTTGAATATTCTTAATGTTGGTTTACCGTTTATACATAGTGAAATTTACATCTGATCAAATACAATTTTATATGTTATCTTTTCACCTTTTCGCGATCACCTGGTATCATCACTACTTCACAGTAATTCATAGAAAATTGCCTGTGATTATTTTTGGAATCACAGTTCGCTCTGCTTTTGGCATTTGAATGAAATTGATGCCACTTGTGATGAAATGTGTTTGAATATTCTTAATGTTGGTTTACCTTTTTTATACATCATGAAATTTACATCTGATACAATACAATATTACACGTTATCATTTCACCTTTTCGCGATCACCTGGTATCATCACTACTTCACAGTAATTCATAGAAAATTGCCTGTGATTATTTTGGGGATTACAGTTCACTCTTCATTTGGCAGATATTTTTAGTGGGTGTTTAGAGTTTTGTCGCTTACATGTGGTAGCCTTAAAAACTGCCGGGCAAAACATGATATTTACTTAAAAATTAGATTTGACCAATAAACTACAACCGTTATTAAAACGGTACAAGGCTGCAAACAGTCGCTGACACACTGCAAACGTATGGTCGAAAACACATCTATGATACCCGTATCAAATGCATCATCATCGGACAGCTATTCCTTCTTCGTTTCATATTTAGCCACCATCACGCATGGGCGTATTCCTTCTTTTGCCCGAATGCTTAGCTGGAAGGTTTATTTTCCTTATGATTGATGATATGATATGAGTGATGACATAGGTCAAGAGTTGACACATCTCAACACTTGATGGGTGATGACATAGGTCAAGAGTTGACACATCTGAACTCTTGGTGAGTGAAGACATAGGACAAGAGTGCACACATCTGAACACTTGGTGGGTGATGACATAGGAGAAGAGCGGACACATCTGAACACTTGGTGGGTGATGACATAGGACAAGAGCGGACACATCTGAACACTTGGTGGGTCATGACATAGGACAAGGCGGACACATCTGAACACTTGGTGGGTGATGACATAGGACAAGAGTGCACACATCTGAACACTTGGTGAGTGATGACATAGGACAAGAGCGGACACATCTGAACTCTTGGTGGGTGATGACATAGGACAAGAGTGGACACATCTGAACACTTGATGGGTGATGACATAGGTCAAGAGTTGACACATCTGAACTCTTGGTGAGTGAAGACATAGGACAAGAGTGCACACATCTGAACACTTGGTGGGTGATGACATAGGAGAAGAGCGGACACATCTGAACACTTGGTGGGTGATGACATAGGCCAAGAGCGGACACATCTGAACACTTGGTGGGTCATGACATAGGACAAGGCGGACACATCTGAACACTTGGTGGGTGATGACATAGGACAAGAGTGCACACATCTGAACACTTGGTGAGTGATGACATAGGACAAGAGCGGACACATCTGAACTCTTGGTGGGTGATGACATAGGACAAGAGTGGACACATCTGAACACTTGGTGGGTGATGACATAGGTCAAGAGTGGACACATCTGAACACTTGGTGAGTGATGACACAGGACAAGAGTGGACACATCTGAACACTTGGTGGGTGATGACATAGGACAAGAGCGGACACATCTGAACACTTGGTGAGTGATGACATAGGACAAGAGTGGACACATCTGAACACTTGGTGGGTGATAACATAGGACAAGAGTGGACACATCTGAACACTTGGTGGGTGATGACATAGGTCAAGAGTGGACACATCTGAACACTTGGTGGGTGATGACATAGGACAAGGGCGGACACATATGAACACCTGATGAGAGATGACATAGGTCAAGAGTGCACACATCTGAACACTTGGTGGGTGAAGACATAAGTCAAGAGCGGACACATCTGAACACTTGTTGGGTGATGACATAGGACAAGGGCGGACACATCTGAACACTTGGTGGGTGATGACATAGGACAAGGATGGCCACATCTGAACACTTGGTGAGTGATGACATAGGTCAAGAGCGGACACATCTGAAGACTTGGTGGGTGATGACATAGTACAAGAGCGGACACATCTGAACACTTCGTGAGTGATGACATAGGACAAGAGTGGACACATCTGAAGACTTGGTGAGTGAAGACATAGGTCAAGAGCGGACACATCTGAACACTTGGTGGGTGATGACATAGGACAAGGGCGGACACATCTGAACACTTGGTGGGTGATGACATAGGCCAAGAGCGGACACATCTGAAGACTTGGTGAGTGATGACATAGGACAAGGGCGGACACATCTGAAGACTTGGTGGTCGATGACATAGGACAAGAGCTGACACATCTGAACACTTCGTGAGTGATGACATAGGACAAGAGTGGACACATCTGAACACTTGGTGAGTGATGACACAGGACAAGGGCGGACACATCTGAACACTTGGTGAGTGATGACATAGGACAAGAGTGCACACATCTGAACACTTTATGAGTGATGACATATTGTAAACAGGACAAGATTGGTCACAACAGGAAGATGTTACACGAAAATGACAATGGTCATGGCAATGGGAGCTCAACAATTTGTAACTGTGTCTGCCATTAGTGCAAAGTTCTGTTTGGCACCAATTGCCACGATTGATGGGATGCCAGTGTGTATGTTCATGACAGTGCTTTATACTTTGTACAAATACCTGTCTCTATAAAGCAACACGACGGTATGCAGCTTCACTAACTGCTCACATACAACTGTCATCAATTATCTACTGCTCTGTTATTGTTTCATTAGTCTGCACGATATGATTACTTTTCTTGTATCCAAAGTCTGAATGATAATTACCAAAATATAGTTTTCTTCGACACCCTAAAAAAGAGCTACTGTCCATTCTATAGATGTACACTCAGTCAAAAAGGCAAAGTAGCGAGATTGTCGAGATCGTGGAATCCATTCAAATGTGTCCTTGCTGCCACCAATCCTGGTCCAGTAACACACAAGATGGACAATCCAGGATAAAATCAGATGTGATGTAACTGCCATAACGCGATAGAGAACATGCACGTGTTATGTTCTATATCCACAAGCAATCCACTTCTCACAAGGTTTCCAGTTGTGTGACAACCGAAAGACCCCTCATACACGTGTGATGTGGAATAAAAATGGTCAACATTATCAGTTTATATTTTGTTGTTAGGATCTGCCGACCCATGCGATGATGCAGAAAACGTCATACAGCTTCCGGGTGCGCGGAAGTGCCTGTCCTATCGCAATGACGCCAAACACTGGGTGGAGGCTGCGAGTATATGTGAGCGGGAGGGCGGCACCTTGTACCGGATAGACGAAGGCCAACTCGGGGCAGGGTCGGGGTTGAAGCAGTGCCTCCTCTCTACACCTGACACAGGAGGAAAGCTGGACTTCTGGATCGGCGCTACCAGTGTGTGGAGCCCCCAGTGGACGTGGGTCAATGGTGAGATGTTTTTGCCTTGAACGATATTGGGTAGGAGCTACACGGTGAACTGAAAGGACTGTTTGATTGACGTACTACTTCCCGGATAACAACTTCTGGTTCATTGCATGTAGCAGTATGCTATAAACCAGAATTAATAGGATCCTGAATCTGTTTTACTTTTAGATATACCATTTTGTACTACATGTCTTGCTTTTTAAAGGGGCGGTCGGGTAGCCTAGTGGTTAAAGCCTTCGCTCGTTACGCCGAAGACCCGGGTTTGATTCCCGACATGGGTACAATGTGTGAAGCCCATTTCTAGTGTCCACCGCCGTGATATTGGTGGAATATTGCTAATACGGCGTAAAACCATACTCACTCACTCACTCTTGCTTTTAAACTATTTTTAAGGCGAACGCGAATTTTTTTTATTACGCCTGCTCAGAAATAACGGAGATACATTTGAACTATATTGATGCCAAATTCTGATTTTCAGGATCGTATCTGAACCCGTTGTTGGCGTGCACACAAAACTACTCGGCGTTGACGGTGCCGTCATTTGACGTGTGCAGCAACCACCTCAGCGTGGACTACTGCGTCAGTATATGCAGACAGGAGGGAGCGCCCTTCTCAGTTATAGAGGTCAGTCTAGTTACCTTTAATCGGGTAAAAGTGTTGTTCGACTGCTTTATACTAACCGAGAGCCAGCATATGTATGACAGGGGAGGCTATTAATCCCCCCCCCCCCCCCCCCCCCCCCCCAACCCCGCTCTTGTTCCACTCCCAGTTAAGAATTTGTCAAATATTGAAGACAGAATAATGGAATAATGGAATAGTGGAGCAAAGTTTACTGATTCGCGAGAGCACGATAAGCTGAAACAGCTGGAGAGAAGACCAGCGAGAGTGTAACGTCAACTTTTCCTGCGACGTTACTATATTTTACGTTACATTACGTTACATTACGTCAGCAGTGTCATCCAACACGTGGAACCAGTACACGTCGTATGGCTTTGTGTTAATGTTCTGATTTTGAACCATATTGATAAAAAAATTCTTTATGGCTGATGTAGAACCATATCTATAATAAATTACGTTATTGTTGATGTAGAACTAAATGGATAATATCTTATTTTCTTGCTGATGTAGAACTAAATGGATAATACTTTACTTTATTGTTGATGTAGAACTAAATGGATAATAATTTACTTTATTGCTGATGTAGAACTATATGGATAATACTTTACTTAATTACTGATGTAGAACTAAATGGATAATGATTTATTTTATTGCTGGTGTAGAACTATATGGATAATACTTTACTTTATTGTTGATGTAGAACTATATAGATAATACTTTACTTTATTGTTGATGTAGAACTAAATGGATAATACTTTACTTTGTTACTGATGTAGAACTAAATGGATAATACTTTACTTTATTTCTGATGTAGAACTAAATGGATAATAATTTACTTTATTGCTGATGTAGAACTATATGGATAATATTTTACTTTATTACTGATGTAGAACTAACTGGATAATAATTTATTTTATTGCTGGTGTAGAACTATATGGATAACACTTTACTTTATTGCTGATGTTTAACTATATGGATACTACTTTACGTTATTACTGATGTAGAACTAAATGGATAATACTTTACTTTATTACTGATGTAGAACTAAATGGATAATACTTTACTTTATTGTTGATGTAGAACTAAATGGATAATAATTTACTTTATTGCTGGTGTAGAACTATATGGATAATACTTTACTTTATTTCTGATGTAGAACTAAATGGATAATACTTTACTTTATTACTGATGTAGAACTAACTGGATAATAATTTACTTTATTGCTGGTGTAGAACTATATGGATAATACTTTACTTTATTGTTGATGTAGAACTAAATGGATAATACTTTACTTTATTGCGGGTGTAGAACTATGTGGATACACATTTTCTTTATTGCTGATGTAGAACTAACTGGATAATAATTTACTTTATTGCTGGTGTAGAACTATATGGATAATACTTTACTTTATTGTTGATGTAGAACTAAATGGATAATACTTTACTTTATTACTGATGTAGAACTATATGGATAATACTTTACTTTATTGTTGATGTAGAACTAAATGGATAATTCTTGACTTTATTGCTGGTGTTTAACTATATGGATAATATTTTACTTTATTGTTGATGTAGAACTAACTGGATAATAATTTACTTTATTGCTGATGTAGAACTAACTGGACAATAATTTACTTTATTGTTGATGTAGAACTATATGGATAATACTTTACTTTATTGTTGATGTAGAACTAAATGGATAATACTTTACTTTATTGTTGATGTAGAACTAACTGGATAATACTTTACTTTATTGTTGATGTAGAACTAAATGGAAAATACTTTACTTTATTGCTGATGTAGAACTAACTGGATAATACTTTACTTTATTGCTGGTGTAGAACTAAATGGATAATACTTTACTTTATTGTTGATGTAGAACTATATGGATAATACTTTACTTTATTGCTGGTGTAGAACTATATGGATAATACTTTACTTTATTGTTGATGTAGAACTAAATGGATAATACTTTACTTTATTGTTGATGTAGAACTAAATGGATAATACTTTACTTTATTGTTGGTGTAGAACTATATAGATAATACTTTACTTTATTGCGGGTGTAGAACTATATGGATAATACTTTACTTTATTGTTGATGTAGAACTAAATGGATAATACTTTACTTTATTGCGGGTGTAGAACTATGTGGATACACATTTTCTTTATTGCTGATGTAGAACTAACTGGATAATAATTTACTTTATTGCTGGTGTAGAACTATATGGATAATACTTTACTTTATTGTTGATGTAGAACTAAATGGATAATACTTTACTTTATTACTGATGTAGAACTATATGGATAATACTTTACTTTATTGTTGATGTAGAACTAAATGGATAATTCTTGACTTTATTGCTGGTGTTTAACTATATGGATAATATTTTACTTTATTGTTGATGTAGAACTAACTGGATAATAATTTACTTTATTGCTGATGTAGAACTAACTGGACAATAATTTACTTTATTGTTGATGTAGAACTATATGGATAATACTTTACTTTATTGTTGATGTAGAACTAAATGGATAATACTTTACTTTATTGTTGATGTAGAACTAACTGGATAATACTTTACTTTATTGTTGATGTAGAACTAAATGGAAAATACTTTACTTTATTGCTGATGTAGAACTAACTGGATAATACTTTACTTTATTGCTGGTGTAGAACTAAATGGATAATACTTTACTTTATTGTTGATGTAGAACTATATGGATAATACTTTACTTTATTGCTGGTGTAGAACTATATGGATAATACTTTACTTTATTGTTGATGTAGAACTAAATGGATAATACTTTACTTTATTGTTGATGTAGAACTAAATGGATAATACTTTACTTTATTGTTGATGTAGAACTAAATGGATAATACTTTACTTTATTGCTGATGTAGAACTAACTGGATAATAATTTACTTTGTTGCTGGTGTAGAACTATATAGATAATACTTTACTTTATTGCTGATGTTTAACTATATTGATAATACTTTACGTTATTGCTGGTGTAGAACTATGTGCATACACATTTTCTTTATAACTGATGTAGAACTATATGGATAATACTTTACTTTATTACTAATGTAAAACTATATAGATAATAATTTACTTTTTGGCTGATGTCGAACCATATAGATAATAATTTACTTTATTGCTGATGTAGAACTATATAGATAATAATTTACTTTATTGCTGATGTCGAACTATATACATAATATTGCTGATGTCGAACTATATAGATAATATTTTACTTTATGGCTGATGTAGAACTATATATGGATAAAAAAATACATTTTTGCTGATGTAGCACAAGAAGGGGAGAAAACACCCATGTTGCTGGTGTAGCTATCAGTTCGATGCCCGCGTCATCGGCGACTGTCCCAACAGGAACTACACCCGGGGGCCTTCAGAATGGCTGTCAGTATTCTCATCTTTCCCGAGGTTCGGTAAGTTTATTCTATCAGTGTTTCTTATATTACATGGTTGGTTTGTTTGTTGTTTAACGCCGCACTATTTCAGCTATGCGAAGGCGGCTTGTAAAGTATCAAATCTGGACAAGACAATCCAGTGATTGATATTATGAGCAACGATCAACGCCGCCGAGGTGCGATGACATGCAATCAACGAAGTCACCGAGCCTGACCACCCGATCCTTGAGTCGACTCTCACGGCCAGCAGCTGTTGCTGGGGAGTAATTCCCGGTATCCCCATTGGGATTATACCACACTGTGACACACTGACAGCGACACACTGACAGTGACACACTGACAGCGACACACTGACACTCCTTGGAACTCTTGCATAAGCTTTTGTTATGGTAATCATATTACAAAGTAAGTGATTGTTAAAGTGAGGGTGTGAATGTCAGCAATATCCTAGCTATATCACGCCGGCCCGTGAATAGATCAATAGACAAACCAGTGCCAAGAACAACGACCCATGTTGGCCATCTTTAGTTAACTGACTATATAAGTCAAGTTTCCACCCTTGTCGAACTAGGCAAGTATTATGGAGTAACGTTTTGGCTGGACTAACGAGTCATAGTCCAATCACAATCGCGCAACGAAATCGAAATCCGGTTCGTAAACTGTCATGCAGATGTCGGTCGATTGCAGGTTTTGCAAAGCATGTGCACCGCTTTGTTGTCAACAGCTATTTTCCAAATCTTTCCATGTTTTTAATCAAGGTGCTGATGTGATTTGATGCACTTTGCGATGTAAGACCCGTTTTATCACAATATGGATCTTGATTATCGATCAGATCGTCTTGGCTGGGCGCCGCCGTTTTCTTTGAAGCAAATGAAAGTGATACGAGAGGGGAGAGGCTTAGAAGGGACATAACTCATAACAGCCACTGGTGGCGCTACGATCGAGCCCAGGAATACCAGCCTTTTTCGGCAAGGATGAAAACTGGACTTTCAGAGTCAGTTAACTCTCTTGCCTCGGGAAGATGCATATTGGCACGATGACACACGTTCAATTCTATGTCACAGAGAATGACCCCCCGATTTCAGATTTAGTGGCCTTTTTACGGGAACGACTCGAATTCCAACAAGGACTCGAATTCCCACAATGGTTATTTTTATAAAGGGAATCACTGTATATATATCGTACACCTGTCTTCGGGTATAGGGCAGGTATTTTTGGCGTTTTAGTCTGTGACAATTGAAGTCCTTCCGTTAGCAGAAAAACCTGATGTCAAACATAGAATTTAATGTATAGTTTGTTGGCATTGCAGCAAGTTATCGGATCAGATGTTTAAGATAATGTCAGTGACAGATCAAAGTTATTTTTTTCAACAGGTACAGCTATTGTGTTAAAGAGTTCAGAAGCGTTGTCTCAGACGGAAACGTTGTGTGCCCGCGTCAACCTCGACACAACGACGATCCGGGAGCTGTCTAGCCAGTCCTGCTTCACTCGGAACTACTACCTGTGTAACCTAGGTCAGTGTCGACGCTGTTGCTACTACTACAATCAACTCTGTTTGAGCAGTCATCTTTGATGACTGTTAACACTTGCCACAGTATTCTGTCATTGTGTCAGTATTTTATGTCTTAAGTTGCACTCAGAAGCCGCAGAGTTACTAACGACATGGCTGACTTATGACTTTCAACAGTCTTATTCTTTAAAACCTCAAACGAGGAGGGAGCACGGGTGGCCCAGTCGTCTAAGGCGCCGCGATTCGCTGTGCAGAGTTGCGTCCCTTGGGCACGCCAGAAACCTATGATTGTGGGTTCGCCCCGATTATGTTTCTAGGTTTGTCAGCACCATACCCGTGCTCGTGGGTTTCGCCGAAGTAGTAAACGTCCGAGACCTGCATCACTGCGGGCTTTCCTCCCACATCAAGCTGACACGTCGTGATATAACTGGAATAATGTTAAAAGCGGCGTTAAACCCAACTCACTCACTCACTCAAACGAGGAATATCAACCACGTCACGCCTATTTTCATTGTTCTTCCATAACCTTTTTCCGCTTGTAAATATTTAACGTTTCAAAGAAGAGTTAACTAAAAAAATACCCTGAAAATTTATCTGTCAGTAACGTACGGAAGCGTAGTAGGGCCACGGTGAAACTTTTTTTGTCTAAGTATCTCCTACGTAGGAGATAGTTATTCTAGTCCATACTAAGTCATACGTAGGAGATAGTAATTCTAGGCCATACTAAGTCCTACGTAGGAGATACTAAGTCCTACGTATGAGATACTAAGTCCTACTTATGAGATACTAAGTCCTACGTAGAAGATAATAAGTCCTACGTAGGAGATACTTAGACAAAAAACAATTTCACCGTGGCCCTACTACGCTTCCGTAGTAATGTCCATATTATGCTTAAATATTGATTGGTACATTTATTGGAACCATGTATGTAAGAGGGTTTGATTGTTTGTTTGTTGTTTAACGCCGCACTCAGCAATATTCCATCTGTATGACGGCGGTCTGCAAATAATCTAGTCTGTACCAGACAATCCAGTGTGCATCGATACACGCAATTGGGATACGATGACATACATCAACGATGACTCGAACCCGATCTCGTTAGTCGCCTCTTGCGACAAGCATGGGTTGCTGAAGACCTATTCAAATCCGGATCTTCACGGGGGAGACAAGCATGGGTTGCTGAAAATATATATTCTAATCCGAATCTCCATGGGTCGTATGTAGGAGAGAGTGCACCCAGTAAAAACATAGTCATTTTCTTAGAATTATTTTGAACCGAAATACATCTCAATCTCCATCTATTTTAATACGTTCCTACGTTTTCAGGAAACAAGACCGACTGTACACTGACACTGGGAGGTCAGTGTGTGTTTGTTGGTCAGACATGGGTCACGTGGTTTGCTGCGCGTGCAGATTGCCGCCGTCGAGGGGGTGACCTCTTGATTGTGGGCGAGCTTGTGGACATGTATGAGATCATCCCTTACATCAAGCTGAAGAAGAACTACTGGATTGGGGCCTTCAACCACGTCTGGGACTTCCAGCCAGGTACTTCGCCCTGATAACGTTTCTAGGTTTGTCAGCACCAAACCGTGCTCGTGGGTTTCCCATCTGCCCCCCCCCCCCCCCCCCCCCACACACACACACCACCACCACCACACACACACACGTTAAGCTGACACGCCCTAATGAGACTGGAATACTGTTCCAAAGATGTCGAACTTTCTGTTTTTGAATAATAAATACAATTCACTCACACTCTCAATCACTCCAGCCAGGTAATGTTATGTGATCATAACAACCCCTGGTTTTACTACTAAAACATGGCAGGATATGTATGTATGTATGTATGTATGTATGTATGTATGTTTGTATGTTTGTGTGTGTGTGTGTGTGTGTGTGTGTGTGTGTGTGTGTGTGTGTGTGTGTGTGTGTGTGTGTGTGTGTGTGTGTGTGTGTGTGTGTGTTGGTTTGTTGTTTAACGCCGCACTCAGCAGTATTCCAGCTATATGACGGCGTTCTGTAAGTAATCGAGTCTGGACAAGACAATCCAGTGATTAACATCATGAGCATCGATCCACGCAATCGGGATACGATGACATGCATCAACCAAGTCAGCGAGCCTGACCACCCGATCCCGTATCCATATCTATATCTATATACACACACATATATTGCATGTTATTCCGTGGCATTTGATCGCCTAACCAAGCAATTATCTTTGCGTTTATGAAATTGATTACGCCACGCCCACTATCGGTCCACTGTTTCTTGATTGGGTGATAACAATTCGCGGGACTTGTGTTGCAGTTTTGCGCTGAATGATTTCGCACTGTTGTCTACAGTTTTTGTGTTAGTGATTTAATAAGACGTTTCCGAATTATTATTGATGACGAATTCGTTTATAAGAATTAATGTCAAAATGTTTTTTTGCGTTTATGGAGTGATAAACATCAAAACAGGTGTGCACAGTTTGCGTAAATATACACACGGTTTTTAAGTTTATACCTCCAAACGCAAACAATAATAAAGTGTCAAATCTTAATTAAAAGCAGTGATCATCCTTAAAACACCACCACGTGTGAGTATCACTTCTAAATGCCAAACCCGTGAAGATCCGGGGTAGAATAGGTCTTCAGCAACCCAAGCTTGCCGTAAAAGGCGTCTATGCTTGTCGTAAGAGGCGACTAACGGGATCGGGTGGTCAGGCTCGCTGACTTAGTTGATGCATGTCATCGTATCCCAATTGCGTGGATCGATGCTCATGATGTCAATGACTGGATTGTCTGTTCCAGACTCGATTATTTACAGACCGCCGTCATATAGCTGGAATATAGCTTAGTGTGGCGTTAAACAAGAAACAAACAAAGAATTGTAAATGCCAGCAGCTACATAATCGCACTCACTGCTTCCATCAACACGTGGATGTGACGTGTAAACATACAGGCGAAACCCTCATTCATTTACTGACTCTTTCTTTTTCTTCTTGTAGGTAGTGACGTGTTCCGGCGCGTCAACAACTACGTGGCCCAGGAGACGTCATGCGGCCATCTCTACAACGAAGGCAACACCTGGTTGTGGTCGGACACAAGCTGTGACTCAAGGAAGCCGTTTTATTGCCAGTTCGGTTGGTGCCTGTCTCCTATTTGCTAGAATTAAGAAATAAACGACGTACAATAAAACAACGCAGGGAAAATAAACCATCTTAGCTGGTGTGTACAAACAAAACAACCAACCTCACACCTGCATTATAAATATATATGCATATATATGTGTTGTTTCTCGACGTCCTTCAGATAGCGTCAAGTACGCCAACGTTCCGGCATCTGACAACGACTACATCTGCCCTTGGGATATCAACCCCCCAACCCCCGTCATCCCGACAGACCTGCCCCTCACCAGCAGTGTCGTCTACAGCAACGTCTCCACCACGCCGACGCAGCCAGGCGCAATCGTCGGTGACGATTCAAGTAGGTCATGTGGAAATCAGTATTTAGTGTGATGTAAATGTGTGTGCGCAGTGTGTGTGCGTGTCTGTGCGGTGTGAGTGTGTAGTGCATGTATGCGTGCGTGCGTGTGTGTGTGTGTGTGTGCGTGCGCGTGCGTGCGCGTGCGTGTGTGTGTGTTACTGGGACATGATATTTTGGTTGAGGTTTATACGAATATCCACCACGTTTACCGAAGAATGTTATTTTTGGGGTATTAATTTGTATATTTTATGGCGCTACATTTTCCAAACAATGCCAGTCCCTGATTTTGAGAGTTGTTTCGTTCTGCCCCAGGCTCGTTCCCCCTGGCCGCAGTGATCGCAGCTTGTGTTGCGGGGTTCCTCATGCTGCTCTGTGTCCTGCTCTCGGCCTTCTTCGTCAGACGCAGGTAATGTATGTGTGAGGAATGAGTCGTGGTTTAACACAATTCTGGTCAGTTTTCTTCTTATATCCCAGACGTCTAAGGCGCCGCATTTCGCTGCGCAGAGTGACGTCCCTTGGACACGCTAGAAACCTATGATCGTGGGTTCGAATTCCGGTTCGCCCCGATTATATTTCTACGTTTGTTCGCACAATGCCTGTGCTCGTGGGTTTCACCGAAGTGGTAAACGTCTGAGACCTGCATCACTTCGGGCTTTATCCCACATTAAGCTGACACGCCGTGATATGACTGGAATAATGTTATATGCGGCGTTAAACCCAACACACTCACTCACTCACGCTTATATTCAAGTGTATCAGGTTAGTAATACAGAGAAAAGGTATACATATATATATATTCACAGAAGCCTAGACATTCATTAGTAAAGGACACGCAAGCCACTGCTTACATAATTTGATATTTTAGAAGATGTGTATAGCTACTCAACATAAGAGCTACATACATGTCTACTGTTGGATATTTACAATAGTAATGTGCAAGAAAAGCCAAACGGGCGCCAAAACGAAGACCTTTTCCGTGAGTTTGCTCGCCTACGGGTGTACTTACTATACGTTTAAAGATCCACGATTCGACTTCATTTGAAAAAGGGGGTGACTGGCATGTTGATGTTGTGAGAATATTCCATCATCGTGTAGGGGCGGTCGGGTAGCCTAGTGGTTAAAGCTTTCGCTCGTCACGCCGAAGATCCGGGTTCGATTCCCGACATGGGTACAATGTGTGAAGCCCATTTCTGGTGTCCCCCGCCGTGAAATTGCTGGAATATTTCTAAAAGCGGTGTAAAACCATACTCACTCACTCACTCAGTCATCGTGGCATGAGGTCATCTTTTTCGAAATACTGCAAATGTCGTTAACCCGGACGATAGGGTTCCGGAAAAGCGTCCGAATTAACAAATATCCGGATTAACTAATCGTGGATGCGTCGCGATTTCCGTTGTACATACCAACACGACCACAACACGATCGTTCGGAAGATCGGGTTTCCAGATTAACGGGGTCCAAACTAACGTACTTTCTATGTACCTCCTATATACACAGTAATACCGTGCGAGTGAGAAAGTGATTATCCATATCAGTAGGAGAGCCGGGGGTTACAACAGATAAGTTTGGAATAAGGGTCGTATCGAAAGTACCCAGAGAAACACTTGAAATAAATAAATATACCAGTTTCTAGGTTTTAGTATCCTGTCACAGAGCTGATACCATAAGGATCTCCAAAATGTACTTGGAACGGGGGGAAGTTTTCCGCGCACCGTTAGACCAGCTTAAATGTATGCGCGTGTCGTTCTGTTTTCAGTATTTGTCCCATTGGCCCACATGGCCTTTCATTGTCTGTAAGGAGATTACTTCCCAGGGTCTGCTCTTTTCGTAGTTACCATAATGTTTTGGATTTTCGATATTGGTCTTGAAGTATAATGGGTCAAGGATAGACCGTTAAATATCACACCAACAAAGGCTCTTTACAACTTAACATGTCTATAACATTTTTAGTTTGGTGTTTTTTTTAAAAGTGTTTCTTTTGAATGGAAATTTCAAAAAGGAATCGCGTGGTCAGCCCCTAATGGATTATGGTAGGAAATTACGTATGAACCCGGTTTGGACGTGCAGAGGATATTTTCTACAAACACGTTCCCAGTTTTATAACTGTAATCAATACCAACACTGAATTATGAACATTATGATGTTATTTATGTCACTGTTTTTCTTCTTTAGACAATGGCTCTCCAAAAAATTCAGCCGAAAGTCCGACCGTGTGTTTGGTGGTCACCGTTTACCCAGACGTTTCTACCATCGGTGGAGTAACGCCTACAACTACTACCCCGACCAACTCTCCGACGGCGGATGGGAGTCCGTCTCTACACACCACACCGGGGTCTTGAGTGACATGAGCGTCGTCTCTGCGCCCTCCCCGGGAGGCTATGTGAGGGAAGGGTACGAAAACCGTGGCCTCACAAGGGCGTACACTCTTGCCTCTCCAGCCGACCTGGATGCTCTTTATGCTAATATTAACAATAAAGGAGGAATAATCAGACGCTCTAACACCAAGGCAAGCGGTCACAGCTTCACGACAGTCGGACATGCTTTAGGGAGTGGAATAGCGGCTACTTCCGGTATAGGCGGAAGTGGCACAGATATTCGTTTGCAGCAGGATCTGGACAAGACGCTAACCTCTATCCACCATACAGGGTCGCCAACCTCCAAGGAGTATATGACATTGGCAGCACATATGAACATTTTGGAGGATCTAGGATCTACAAGATCTGCTACCCGTACCCGACCAGAAGTTGCCTTGGTAACTAATGATGTTGACCTCAATTTTACTGTTAACCGTGCTATTACCAAGAACAGAACCGGCAGTGAGCATTCGAGCGAACGCACCATAGAAGAGATTGAACTACCTGTCGGGACGACTGTTGAAATACCAACAAATTCGTCCGACTTTGTTCATTTTTGAGTATATTGAGAAAATGTAATCATCATGGAATAGGACGTTAAGGTGTAGGTGACAAGAAATATAACAATTTATCTGCGAAAACTTGGAACAATTTCCTATATCATTCAATAATTGGAATTGTTTCTTTTATCGCCGTACAGATATATGATAGTAGGTACATGCGAGTACCATACGGTAAAAGGAAATATATCATGCTCAAAGCAAAGCACAGCTTTGTGATCTTGCACAACCCAAGTATATCCACATCCACATCCACACCAGCTTACACATAACATACTGTCGACAGTACGGATCATGAGTAATCTGTTCGGTTGTAATTTAGTAATATGGAAGCCCAACGATATTATCGTTTCGTTCAGTAACTAAAACTACTAGTGATGTGTGTTAAATGTCGGAGACGATACTCCTCTCCAGACTTATCCTTAAAATATATATTGTTGAACAATGTCGGTCATTAATAGTGTTTGATGTGTATGTCAAATATGAATAAAAACATTATCTGCAATAGTACAACAGGTCACCGACACGAAGGAAACGGCAAACTTTGTTCCTCTGACGAAATAGTCCAGTATGTCATTTCTGGGAACATAATGGGTAGACACATTGTACCCGTATTGGGAGTAGAACTCGTGGCTCCAGCGTGACGAGCCAACTATTCAACCACTAGGCTACCCCGGCGTCACCGCTAATATGACGTAAAGAACTTACTACATGTATTTATTTGGTAAGCCATGGGACACTGCTGTTAACGGAGACATCTTCAGTGTCCAGCGATGGTTGTATTACTATGTACATGTATATATTTGTATGCAACTTGATAATGTCCACAGTATGTCAAAACTAAACGGAATCTTATTCATTACCAATTTAAACTTTAAGCCCGTTTGCAGCTTGGAAACATCAGTATATCTATGATTCACCGTTATTCGTTTTTCAAACGTTAACAAAACTATCCCTAGTAAATTAGAAAAATAAATATAATACCTTAGTGTCTGAACATGAATATGTTTTGAGGAGAAATAAAACAAGATGAAGGTTGAAAATGTTTCGTATTCGTACAAAATCACAATTTATTATTCATAATTTATAAAAACAAGCTGTGATTTTATGTAGCCAGCTGTGCCTTCTTTGCCATGTAGAAGTAGGAATAATACCAAATGGGACATTAATAAATTACTTTTTGTGTTATTTTGTAAAGATTTAACTCTATTTATACATGCAGTACCTAATCAGCATACATTTACCAAGATTAATATATCCGGGACAATGTACACTGGTATCCTGTAAATAGGTGAGGTGAGGTGAGGTGAAATGGGGTTTAACGTCGCGTCCAAGATTATTGCACTTATATAGCGACGTGCATGTACGCGTGTGTGTGTTTGTGTGGCTGCTTGTACTAGTCCGGACTGATGTCGATTTATAGTGCTAGCCCACTGAGATACCATGCCGCGGTTTAACATGAATACCCCACTCAGACACAGTATACTGACTCCGAGCCGACCAGACCTTGCTTTAGCCCCTTAACGCCGAGCGCCAGACAGGGTAACAACAAGTACCATCTTTTAACGTCTTTTGGTATGACGCGGTTGGGGATCGAACCCCGGACCTTCCGGGCGGACGCTCTACCATTAGACCACGGAGGCGGTCGTATCCTGTAAATAATGGAAGTAGTTAATGTGAATTTGTTTTACCGTTACCGCCGTGTATCATGAAGCCTTAATTTACCCATCTTATATGTTATGTTGCTCAGGCTTTGATGCGTTGATCAACACCCTGTGTATTTATACACACATGGGTTTGACACCATACCATGATGTGGCCTTCGTTTTTAGAAACTATTCCTGATAATCACCACCTTTGTGTTCATGTAGTTAATGCGTTTGTTTGTCGTTGTAAATGCTCTGTAGTGATGTATATTTTCCAATAAATACTTATACGTTCTGAGACCATACGTTGTGTAATTGAATTATAAAACAAATCCTGAAGGAAAACAGCTGTTGTGAATGAAAATCTCACAACCTCAAGGGACAACCATTTAATCAGCGTAACCACTGGGCCCCTCAAACCGGAAGCTGTGTGTGCAGTGGTAGATCTAGACAACGGGAATAAATAATTGGTCAAATTGTCTCTGATAACTGAGTGAGCGAGTGTTGTATTTTGCCCGATTTGTGTGTAATGCAGTGATATTCCCGCAAGGGAATCAAATATGGGCTTCACAACTTGTACCCATGTGGACAATCGAACCCCGGCCTTCGGCGTGACGAAATTTGACGTGAAGCTTGATTTTGTTAAATTGCCATAAACGACATTGATTTCTTCTTTGAGAGGCATTTAGAAGCTGGCGTACACAGTAAGGATAAGATATATGGATGAACAACTTCTTTATTACAATTAGGAGCGACGTTTTGGTGCAGGTTCTACCACCGTTATCAAGCAAGTGATCTACAGAGTATGGTTGACAAGTATATATACAGGAAAGGAGGTAGTGTTTACACAGTTGAGTAGGTTTAAGATGCAGTTACACTGCTGGAGTGGAGAAGCATGTTATGTACACAGAAGGGTCAAACATATTGGCCGGTGAAGCCTGAAGCCTGAAGCATTGATTTCTAAGATTGTTTATACATTCACGGGGGCGGAGGGGTAGCCTAGTGGTTAAAGTGTTCGCCCGTCATGCCGAAGGCCCGGGTTCGATTCCCCGCATGGGCACAATGTGTGAAGCCTATGATTGGTGTCTCCCGCGGTGATATTGCCGGAACATTGATCAAGGTGGCGTCAAACCAACTCACTTACTGAGTATTGTCTTGTCTTGACTGACAGAAACGGAACTCTTCAAGAATTTAATGTTTCAAGGTCTGTACATTTTTCCATTAAAACTATTCAAGTTTTCGTTTGCTTGAATGGCAATTACTTAAACCTAATTGAATTATTTTATTCAAAATTATTATAAGGAAAAGGTAAGAATGTATCTATTTTGACTTTATTTCCTGACTGGAGCTGTTCATTTGGCGGGACTCAGCAGGTGCCCCGAGAACGTAGACATACCATTCCCAAAGAGAATATCGTGTGGATTATCTGAGGAGTGGCGAACCCACACCTCATCCCCAACCTTCAAGTCGACGATGGCCTGGGCGGAGGAGGGTTTGGCCTCAGAGCCAGGCTGGACGTACCCTAGACCATTAGCAGGTATCCCTGTTGATGCTTGCCCTGCCAATGTAACCAAAACATTACAGTCATAAAATGCCTGGCAAATGTACACACTGAAAATTGGATTTGACCCAAAAAATACAAAGTTTATCATAGCGTTACTAGGCTGAAATCGGTCCCCGAAACACTGCAAACAAGGCCAAAAACACAACTATAATACCTGTATCAAATACATCGTCATCGAATAAACATTTCTTCTTTGTTTCAATATTACCACAAAACACGGGTATATGCTTTCTTTTGCCCGGCAGTTTATGAGTTTCCAATAATCGTCGCGCTTTCTGAAATATAATTCGACAGTTGTAAATTCTCGACACCGCGTGGTCCCAAGTATCCAGTGATTTATCTGGGTTTTGTTTGTTTGTTTGTTTGTTGTTTAACGCCATACTCAACTATATGACGGATGTCTGTAAATAATCGAGTCTGGACCAGACAATCAAGTGATTGACATCGATCTACGCAATTGGGATACGATAACATGCATCAGCCAAGTCAGCGAGCCTGACCACCCGATCCCGTTAGTTGCCAATATCAGTGATCGAAGGTACCTGGTACGCTGTACTGCTAACTAAACGGCGAAACGACGACTAACCTTAACCTTAAGGTACCCAAAACTTTTTTTCTGTCGTAGGGCAATCTCATTAAAATCAGATCTTAGAACGACCTTTCATCCGACCAATCAGAGCGTCGCTTACCAGATCATGAAAGTGACAGTCGGAATGTGATTTCTAATCATGCAGCATCGACAACTTTAAAACGGGGTATTCCGAATGATATTTACGGGCTTAACGGCTGAATCTATACAATCTAGACCATATATTAGCCATTCGAGAATGTTCTTTTGTTCAGGTTTCAATTTTTTAAGCGAGAATTTGTCAAAATATGTTTCGAAGCGTAGTGCCGTAAAGCACGAGAAAGCTGCCTTCTGATTGGCTAATGTCGACTTCTTGTCAGTAATTCCATTGGTCGGTCAGAGTTCAAGAAAGGTCGGTCTGACGTGACCCGTAATGGGATGTCCTCAGAACTTTGTTTAGCGGCAGCGAGAACTAAGATCTGATTTTAATAGGGGCGGTCGGGTAGCCTAGTGGTTAAAGCGTTCGCTCGTCACGCCGAAGACCCGGGTTCGAATCCCGACATGGGTACAATGTGTGAAGCCCATTTCTGGTGTCCCCCGCCGTGATATTGCTGGAATATTGCTAAAATCGGCGTAAAACCAAACTCACTCACTCTGATTTTAATGAGATCGGGTCGTAGGGTACACTATGCCTTGTGAACGTTATTAAGAGTTGATATAATGAAACACTCTGGCGGGTCCGTATTTGGTACACTGTACCGCTTTGGAAAAGTGGATAGACTACATCATTTTGACGGTAGGTACCCTGTTATGCAGTGACAAATGATGGCATATGATGAGTACTGGCAACAGGGTACCCTTCATTTTGTAGGTCTTTCATCACTGTCATGGCAAGGTAAACTGTGCTAGATTGTGCTACTCACCTAAATATGATGGTGTGGTGGATAGTTGTCTTTTCGCTCTACTGTTATATACTTCAGCATCGAATTCTCCCCCATCTTCATCCTCAACACTTCGCCCAAATCTTGATCTGGAGGAGAAAACTCTCCCGATCTGTAATCCGTTGTTGACGATCTCAAGTTGGATTCCTCCATATGACCCGATTGAAAGAGAGAGCTGGTATGTCCCAGCCTGAGGGCAACGAAACACGCCCAACCTTGCGTCATATCCGTTCCCTTTGTTCAATATGACGTCATCGAAGCGGATAATTTGGCCTTTGCCAAGACCAGAGAGATTCTGAGAGATGCGAGCATTAAAAGCCACAAAAGCCACATGATTCGTACCTTTACGAAGAAAAAGATTGGAATTATCATGAGTTTATATATTGTGAGAAAGTGACTTTTTAATCATTGGATTATCATATATTCTTTAATTCATAACTATACATTTTGCCTTTCGTGACCAGATTAGAACTACTAAAAATAGAGTATAAAACAGTATATAGATAAAGGAGATTAAGTCATAACAGGTGACCCACTTCATAATAGGGTTTTTTAAGTGTTAGAATATATTCAGTAAAATACATGTTAAAAAAACATTGTTATTTCAAATATGTATATGTGTACATACTAAAATATTATCTATACATAGACATGTGTACATAAATAATGGTTTTTACCATGTAAACATTTGATATTCTGCCATACAGTACATTTATAACATATGCCAAGGTGAGTGGTTAGACTTACGCTTAGTCTCCTAAAATATATGATTGTCATAAAACAAGCAACTCCATTTAAGTTTGAAAGGAGTCCCAGTCGGATTGGAGATTCAGAAACTGTTGAAAATCTAGACTTGCTTCAGTTAGACTATAGCATTACAGTAAGGGCTGGGCGGGAATGGAATGATATGGTTCAGGGACTTCCCTTTTACCTAGCAGTTAGCGTCAACATTCTCCGTAAGGGGTCCGACCCGTGAAGATCCGGGTTAGAATAGGTCTTCAGCAACCAATGCTTGCCGTAAAAGGTGACTATGCTTGTCGTAAAAGGCGACTAACGGGATCGGGTGGTCAGGCTCGCTGACTTGGTTGATGCATGTCATCGTATCCCAATTGCGTGGATCGATGCTCATGTTGTCAATCACTGGATTGTCTGGTCCAGACTCGATTACTTACAGACCGCCGTCATATAGCTGGAATATTGCTGAGTGAGGCGTTAAACAACAAACCAACCAACAAACCAACCCAACAGAGAGCCATACTGGTATCATTGCTATTTGATAGTGATTCATAAACACATGCTCCGTAATTAAACAGAAATTATTTCATGTGTATTACACAGTGTACCGTACCTGTTCCGGAAGGGTTTGTGGGTAGGTTGGCAAACTGATACTGTAGATTGTTTAGCATAGATTTTATACCAAGTACATCGGTGTTGAGTTGCATGATGAAGCCGTCCCGATCGTGGTCGGTCTGAAACATCGTGACCGGCACAGGAGTACTACCCGTTATTGGTGTGGGGGACATCTGATCACCAATAGCATCGCCAACAGCAGAAAGAAGTACCACGACAACGAGCTGCGTAAGGCCTCCCATTCTGGGACAGATCTATGGCGAGTATGTCATATGATCTATTTACACACTGGTAGAGAAACAGATATGACGCCTCTGATAAGAGCTGAGCCACAACGTGAACACCCAGCTTGCCTGTTCTCATGGCATTTTAGAAAATATTGGAATGAATTATATTTGACATTTGATTATGATAATCATAACCATTTCAATGTCCTGTGTTAAATATGCAATTGTTTTGTTCAAACTCACCTTGATCATACAAATAGATCGCATATAACAGTATTACCGAACAGTGGTGGGGAGGATTGAGGTCGTTATCGTACATTATTGTATAATTATATGTATATATAATCGCATTTGAATTTCATTTCTATGGTTGTCCAGAAGAGGATTAATTACTAGAATGAACTTAGTTTTCTTATATATTTGAGAAATACTCTGTGTGTTTTGTACTTAATTGTAATATATCCTATTGACGATTTTCATCATAATTGTTCATATTTAACCTAATGGAATCATATTTCAATTGGTAAAGTAGGTAGTAATATACACAATGGAATAATTATAACGTAATAAACTTACACAAATATATTGATGTGTAAATGTGGAAAGTCTGACTTTCACTGACTGAAGCAAATTTATTTATTTTGCAACTGTATATTTGTACATATTTTATGCGGAGAGGGGTTTACTAAGTTGCAAGAACTTGTCCCCATTACAATTCTCATTTTGTTCTGTGAATAAAATATGTTTAAGCTAAACTAAACTAGCAAATGGATGACATGTCATTCTGCAGTAGTCTGTGTGCAAGCTGATTTATACATGTTCATATACATAATATCAATTTATTATTTCAATTTTTTTAACGTTGCTCGGAGGATGTAAAGCAAATAATGACAATGTCCTGGGCGATGTACATGTAGGTATGTGAACCCGCACGGACTACCTTTATCAATTATTTTACGTGCAGCTTGTGTCATGTCTGTATTGTTAGAATGGTACTCTAGCAACTGTACACATCGAAATTTATGACTGAAAGATCCATCCTCGGGTTAAAAATGATGGATTACATTAGGTACGTCTATTCGACAAATAGGTTAATTGATTTATCATCCAATAGTAGCTTAGCTAGGCGTCCATTGCAATAACATTGAGTTACGAGTTACCGAAGAGAGCTCTGTGCAACCGGACCCTGTCGATTATGTCGATTTGCATTGGAGGTTTACTTAATTTGATAAGGAGCACATGACCGTTTCCTTGAAAAAACGAGACAATTCAATCGTATTTATTTTGACGAAGAATTTAAATACAACAAATGAGTGACAGATCTCCTGTGCAATGTCAAAGGAAAAAACCAGTCGTCAACAAATGCAGCATAGATTTCCCATGCATGGGAAAGGAGAATACTTAATACATAACATTATATACAATGTTTTTATTAATATCAAAAGAGGGGAGTGGATATTCTTTACCTACATTGCATATACTATTAGATATTGTGTATTCTCGATCTCTGTGAACTTCTCACAGATAAAGAAATAATAATAAATAAATGCAAACCATGTTAACTTATGCAATATTTGAAGCAATGTATGATTAACATATGGATCATTAATATAACATAAAATATTTCCTTTCATAGGAAGAAGTATATTTAATGAAATAAATGAATAAATGTAACTGTCTGGATTCCTTTCATATGTCATGAAGAACTAACAACAACTTACTGACAACTTTTGCTGGGATAATAACAAACAACAAAAACAGAATCCATCATGATAATGGCACGAAATCATAATTCAAAGCATACACAAATAATATCCGGTATCTTCGGGCATGTCTTGTTGAGTTTCAAAGAGCATCAGAATGTATAATAAATTTGTTGCAATCAATTATTGCTGAAATATATCTGTTTTGATCAAAATTGAAAGGATGGAAAATCTATAATGAAAAGGGTTTTGTCACTAACGTAAATATTCTCTTTGACCTTATACGAAGAGTATTCTAAGAACATTAATCTCGGCAATCGTTGGTGGATTGCGCCAAGCAACCTTGATACCAAATTTGGTACCTCACGTATAATGCGGTACATAATTTTCGAAACAGATAATTACGTTTTTCATAAGCTATCACTAATCTGTGATATATATACGGACAAAAATTACCTCAGAGGATAATCTTCCCTGGGGGTTTAAGAGGATTAAAATAATTCCAGCTAACATCAAGCACTGTAATAAAATATTTAAATTATAGCATACCTTCTTAACATTCCAATGAAAAGAATAGTGACTAACTAAGAAAACAAATTATATTTATCTCCGATACTATGCCCTCATCAGTATACACACACACACACATACAGACATAGGTATGTATGTGTATGTTTGTGTGTGTGTTTATGTATGTATGTATGTATGTATGTATGTATGTATGTATGTATGTATGTATGTATGTATGTATGTATGTATGTGCGCGTATGTAGGTGTGTATGTAATGACAGTAAATGTGAGCTCTATGTCATTGGTCTCACATATATGACTGCACTTCTACATACTCTAGATGACAGTATCATGTACGTAGATGAAAGTATGTAAGTGGACGATAGTATCTAGATGGCATACTATCATCTACGTAGAAGATACTATCATATACGTAGATGAAAGTATCTTCTCCGTAGATGATAGTATCTTCTACGTAGATGATAGTATTTTCTACGCAGATGGTAGTATCTTCCACGTAGATGATAGCATGCCACCAACATCACATCACTTCCAATAAATGTCTTTCACTATGTACCAGCCAAAACCACTGTACTCAAGGTACAACCAGGCATTGGTCCACTTCTGATTGCAAATCACTTTCAAAGCTCTAATGCAAGTCTACTACCTTTTCCATACGTCATTATTAGCCTTCGGACACTGATAACAGTCGGTAAATTTTCTACTTAGTGTGGGGTGTGAGAACTTTTTGAAACTTGATATATCGAACATTGTTGTATATATATAAACTCACTGGAGTGTTATTTCTGTAGGTTAAGTACGTAGTTATCAACACAATGTATTTATATATAAAAATATATGTTTGGGATGCTTTCCTTGCATTTAAAGTGTGTTAGCAGTAGTTGAAAAGAGCGATTCAGCATGAAACCAAATTTGAAATGGGGTAAAACAGTTGTTACATAGTGTATGAAATACCCTCTGAAGACATATATTGCAGTCTCAAATTTAGAAGTTTTAACTCAATTTCAGAAAAAAGTGATGAGGGTAGGCAATTAGAACTAGGTAAAAAATCGGAGCAAAATATAATTTGACTTTTTGGTAAGTCACCAGTCATTTCATTGGAATTTTAAGAGAGTATGTTATTACAGTGCTTGATCTGAGCCCAAATTACTTTAATCCTCTTAATCTTTCAGAGGAGGTTATGTTTCCAGGGGATTATTGTACGTATATTTCGTATCAAGGTTTCTTGGCACAATCCACCAACGATTGTCGAGTTTAATGATCTTCAAGTACGTTCCAAGGTCAAAGAGAAAATGTACTTTAGTGACAAACATATTTTCATTATAAATTTTCAATTCCTTTCTATTTGGATACAAGCAGATATATTTCAGCAATTGATTGCAAGAAATTTATGATAATTCGTATACTCTTTGAAACTGTACAAGAGTTATCCGAAGATACCGGATGTTATTTTTGTATGAACGGGATCTGTCGACTCATTTGTTGTATTTGAATTCTTCGTCAAAATAAAATGAATTGTATAAATATGATTAAATTCCCTCGTTTGTTTCAAGAAAAGGATCACGTACTCCTTTTCAACGCATATAGCGTTTCCACTGCAAATCGACACACTGGTTGACCAGCCTGTGTTTGTACCCTTCGTCATCACTCGTTCAGTCGTGTCGAACTGGTCAACGTACTGTTGAAGCAAGACATTCAAAAAACATCTTGAATAGCCTTATAAGAGTATTGAACAATATGTCACAATTAAGTTATTTGTCGAAAATACGGTTGTGTAACCCATCATTTTGAACCCGAGGATGGATTTTTCAGTCATTTAAATGTATCGATGTTGACACCACCCTTTAATGACGAGTGTACGATAAAGCCTATACCAACCATCCCTAACTTAACAGTTTTGTACGTTTGTCATCATACACAGTATTTCTCGAATTGCACATGTGAAACGCAAGCTCAACTGACAAAGATCATTTCTAGGCAATTGGCGTCCTGGACACTACGGTAGTAAGGTTGAGTATTATTACAATTTACGTCAAAATTATTACAATTTGCTGCAAGTATTACAATTTACCTTTTGATTACAATTTACGTCGTAACAAGCACCAAACTTGGCACACTTATACATTGAACCATTCTAAACATTTCTTGATATGGATCCACCTCAGCAGCGCCACCTGGTGGTAGAAAATCCAAGATGGCCGCCCAAATGGTTAAAATCTCTTTTGATGTCAATTTATATTCAATATATCATGATTATTTTGTCAATTTGAGTCATTTATGTAAAATTTATTTCAACAGTGTTGTATAAATTCAAATCTAATATGCAGCGCCCACTGGTGGCGAAGTAAATCCAAGATGGCCACCAAAATGACTTTATGTCAAGCTAGACAACGCTAAAAGGATCTATACCGAAACGTCGCTTTTCACAGTATTACAGAAGTTGTTATCCATAAAATTGTGTCTACCTTTTCATCCGATAACTTCTAAGTATTGCCTATCAAACAATTTATTCCGTAAGGCAGATCTGGGGAATATATTAGACTACATGAACCTGGTTTAAATTCTGTAACTGAACTTGGAATTTGATAAAGATATTGGACCAGCACTGAAACATGCCTTTTGATTCTGAATCATTAAGGCTAACTTAACGAGCAACACTTACCTGCAGACGTGATTTAAGGTTGAAACAAATTTTCGGAGGAGCATTTCCTTCTGACTGCCATAAACCGTATGTAACTGCCTCTTTGAAAGCTCTAGTCATTATGAAATCTGAAGGGCCAGGTATAAAAAAAACAATCCTCAAGCATTCCAAACTATCTCAAAACAACTTGTCTTCA